TCAATTCTCGTTCTTGTTGGGAGGACTCTACATGTAGAGAATTGACTTGTTCTTCGATTAACTTTTGTTCCTGTTGGAAGGACTCAGAATGATGAACCTGCTCCTCTGTCAATTCTTGATCGTGTTGGGAGGACTCTGCATATGGAACATTTACTTGTTCTTCGATTAACTTTTGCTCATGTTGGAAGGACTCAGTATAAGGAACATCAGTGGCGGATGTATCAGTATCAGTAGTCTTAACCTGCTCCTCTGTCAATTCTTGTTCGTGTTGGGAGGATTCAGTATGTGGAACATTAGCCTGTTCTTCGATTAACTTTTGTTCGTGTTGGAAGGACTCAGTATCAGTAGACTCATTTTCAAATATATCATGATTTGTAGGTATCTCTTCGTTGTGTGAGGTGATTGTGACATTGTCTGTTATAGTTTCAGCGGCAACATCAAGTGGTTCATTTAATTCTTCATTGGTTTGAACTTCGTCTACAATTTTTTGTTCGATAATTATTTGGGATTGTACGATCGACTGATCTTGTTCCTCTTCTTTGGTTCCGTGAATAGTTTCTTCCTGTTCTATAATTTTTTCATTAGCTATTTCATTATCATTCAATTCATCATCAAACTTCTCGATTTTTTCATTATCATTGCCAGTGCTGTTTTTTAATTCATCATCATGCTTCTCGACTTTTTCATTATCATTTTCATTGTCGTTTTTCAATTCATCATCACATTTCTCAACTTTTTCATTATCATTATCAGTGCCGTTTTTCAATTCATCGTACTTCTCGACTTTTTCGTTATCATTTTCATTAAATTCATAATCATACTTCTCAACTTTTTCATCTTCATTTTCATTGCTGTTTTTAAATTCATAATCATACTTCTCAACTTTTTCATCTTCATTTTCATTGCCGTTCTTCAATTCATCATCACATTTCTCAACTTTTTCATCATTGTCAGCGCTATTTTTCAATTCATCATCATACTTCTCGGCTTTTTCGTTATCATTTTCAGCGCTGTTTTTTAATTCATCATACTTCTCAACTTTTTCATTATCATTTTCATTTTCATTGTCGTTTTTCAATTCATCATCACATTTCTCAACTTTTTCATTATCATTGTCAGTGCTGTTTTTCATTTCATCATCACATTTCTCAACTTTTTCATTATCATTGTCAGTGCCGTTTTTCAATTCATCATCATATTTCCCGGCTTTTTCATTATCATTGTCAGTGCCATTTTTCAATTCATCATCATACTTCTCGACTGTTTCGTTATCAATTTCATTGTCGTTTTTCAATTCATCATATTTGACTTTTTCATTATCATTGTCAGTGCTGTTTTTCAATTCATCATATTTTTCAACTTTTTCATTATCACTGTCAGTGCCGTTTTTCAATTCATCGTCATATTTCTCAATTTCTTCATCGTATTTCTCGACTTTTTCATTATCATATTCATTGCCGTTTTTCAATTCATTATTACATTTCTCAACTTTTTCATTATCATTGTCAATGCTGTTTTTCAATTCATCATCATATTTCTCAATTTTTTCATTATCATTTTCAACTTTTTCATTATCATTTTCATTGCCGTTTTTCAATTCATCATCGCATTTCTCAACTTTTTCATTATCATTGTCAGTGCTGTTTTTCAATTCATCATCATATTTCTCAATTTTTTCATTATCATTTTCAGTGCTGTTTTTCAATTCTTCATCATATTTTTCAACCTTTTCATTATCATTTTCATTGCAGTTTTTCAATTCATCATCACACTTCTCAATTTTTTCATTATTATTGTCAGTACTGTTTTTCAATTCATCATCATAATTATCAACTTTTTCATTATCATAGTCATTGCCGTTTTTCAATTCATCACACTTCTCTGAAGCTAGAAGTGGTGGTTCCACGGAAATCGTATGATTGTAATTCCCACTAGAATCAGGATGACTTTGTACGTCATTATCCAAAACCCATTGCCCATCAACAACAAATTTATAACAATAAGTTATGTTTGGCTTTAAATCAAGGGTGATAATAAAATCAGATGAGCCATCTGCTTTAGTCATCTGAATTGGCTTCCATGGTGTATAAGGGGAGTCAAAACTTCCGGCCACCTGGACATTTGAGCCCCAATGCGACCATTTAAATGTAACTGGTACCAGATTGGAATTACTAACGTCCGGCATTATGACCAATGGAGGATCTGGCAAGGCAAAAAAAGTTTTTGTCTTTTAAATTTTGGCGCATCACGAAAAAGCAAGGAATGGGATTAATACCACTATTTTAATCTGGTCTTTACACATCCTATATATATATAAATTCTTTCATACCTTAAATAAACCCTCCTATTAATGTTTTAATAAAATGTATATATCAAAAATAAGTTTTTGCCCTGCGCGAGTAATGATGGACTATCTAATAATTATAATAACAATTCTGACTTGCGACACCCTCGTTCTTTATAGAAGAAAAAGAAGGGGAGTATGAAAAAAATGAATCGAGAGTACCTATCGCTATTTATTTATTCCCACGATAGTGGGTCAAATGATTTAATATAAAGTTGGAAGTGAGCGACAGAGTCCAGATACTTAAGGAATCTATAAGACCGAAATAGGGAATTGGCACTTTACTAGAAGTGATAACGAGAATGACATTACGTGCTATCCAGCTGACAAGGGGAAATTTAAGTTTAAACCTGTAATTAATAAATCTATCTTTTTGGTAAAAGGCGAGGTAACATATACGATCAAAAAAGAAATTTGGCGTTGAGACGATGCGGGTTCCAATAATTAATAAGTATTTACGTCCATTTCGTTCATCAAGATTCGTCTGCAATTAAGTGGTTTATAAATACATTCAAATTTCTCTAGTTTAAAATATTTGAAAGCATTATTATTACAGATGTTATCGAAGAAGATCATTACTTTTTCGTACGCAAAAAAAAAAAAATAATAATAACGCGTACATCACGAATTCTGCTAATAAATGCTTTTTTGATTTTAAATGTATGGCTGTAACTGATTCAGAACGGATAAGTTCATACCATTAGGATGTCATGCATATCATCAACCTTATCTCTAACAATGTCATATGAAATTTAGTATGTAATTTTCTATCGGCGCAACATCTCTCATTGTTTTTTTTAACTATTTTCACGCTGTTTTCATGAATATCCCACCACTCTTTGGGGTTGGCGGTTAATCAGATGGTGCAATAAGATTTAAAAGATTGTGATGGTATCTTGGTCAATTTGTGTAGGTGATTGACGCATGTACTCATGTACTCGAGTAATCGTCATCTAAATTGAAGAATCCGATAAAGCTAGGCCCGTGTACTTAATGATTCTATCCTATTGAGAAAGTTGTATTATTTTAATGGTGTTATAAATGCATCAAAAGGTAATTTTAAGTGCGACTTTTTGGCACCTAACACTTCGCTTAAATGAACAGCTGGCGATCGATTAGAATGACAGACTGAAAAATTTACCATATATGGGGATCAAAAACCTTGTACTCACATAGCTATTTTAAATGTAGGTTAACCAATCAAAATCATGAATCTTATTTACACGGATAACCCCGACGAAGCTAAAATAAATAGTTAAACAACTATCTAAACTTTTTCTTAACAAAAAATGAGAAAGCAGTTTTACTTTATAAATTTGCCTATCCCTAACTTAAAACCAACCCTGATCTTAAATTTAACTAAAACTTTATATACAGTTACGTTGGTACGTACGTACGTACATGGCTTTAGCGATCCCTCATGTATGCACTTAACCCTCATGGGAAGGCATTCACCAATTTGTGTAGATCCATGCATAAAAATTGATCAATAAAATCGCCAAACTTCAACTATATAATTAACTTATACAGATACCGTATTTTCGCGAAATAACGCGTAGGGGTGAAATTACAAATTTCGGCCTAAATTAAGCTTAATTCGGGCCAAACCTCTAAATAACGCCCATGCCCGTTAT